CCCAGGGTGTTAAAGTGAAACCCAAAAGTGAGACTTTGAAGGCTTTTAGGCCGTTTATTCGTCCTCTGATCCGGCTGGCTGCTGAGGGCGTTTGGCGGCAAGGGTCTAGTGAGGGTTTGCTGAAGGGAGAGGGGGTTGTTTCGCAGGTTAAAGTCCCGTTGTGTGCTTTGATGCTGCTAGAAGAGGGGTTTTTTTTAGAGCAGTTGAAGTTTTGCTCATGTTTTTCCTGTGTTATGGTCTGTTCAGCAGTCATCGGTTTCCTTTACGTGTCAAGGTTATTCTGCCAATGGAGAATTATTCCTCCCTTTCCCCCTGGGTGTGATCTGGAGAGGATGGCTTAGGTTTCTGTCCGTCTGTGGGATATCTTAGGAAAACGATCACCCTGGCTATTTTTTTCCAAATCCTAATGCAGCTGCTGAATCCATGGCCGTGCAGTCTCCTCACGCTCCATTTAAGCATTACCTTTTCTTGGTTTTATTTTTTCAGTGAAATGAAGCTGAAGGCAATTGATCGTACTGCCATGCAGGCATGGAGCCCTGCCCAGCAGCACCCCATTTACCTGGCCACAGGTGAGTTTCTGGGAAGCGTGTGCTAGCACGCCTTGGGCTACATGTGATGGTTGCCATGAAGTGGTTATAATTGAAAGTTGTAGGAGTTATTTCGTGTCCTGAAGGCTGGAGTGGGGTATATGGTGTGGTGCCTTTAGTGGAGTCCTCTAGTTGTGCTGTGCATGAAAACATGCTTTGTGTTCTGCAAGTAACAGCAAGTGTTCTCTTTTTTCTCCAGGGTAAGGTGACAGCAATCCTAACTGCTAGTTCACTGTCCCTTGCTGCTCATTTGTAACTTTGATTATCTTCTGTACATCATCAGGGAGAGAAAGGCACTTGCCCAAAGCTTTTCCCGCTCATATTGGTTAGGAAACCCCCAAAGGCAGAACCATGGCGAGGAGAGTTATGCAGGACTATATCTAAATAACAAAAACCTGACCCCATCTCGGCGTCCTTTTTGCAAGGATGATGTTTTTATGCCCCTCCTTGTGTTGCTTTTGCAGTTGCTCTTTTGTGGCTTTCTCACTGCCGAGCATACTTCTTTGCAGGTACATCAGCTCAACAGCTGGATGCAACCTTCAGTACAAGTGCTTCTCTAGAAATATTTGAGTTGGACTTATCAGACCCTTCGTTGGATATGAAGTCCTGTGCCACCTTCTCCTCCTCTCACAGGTAAGCAGTGGGGTTGTAAGGGAAAAATAATGGCTGTGGAACAGTTACATGTGGTGTGTGTGGAAAGGCCACTTCACAAGGTTTATCTGCGGTTTTTGTGGAGAGGAGCAGAAGTTCAGTGCTGAAGGATGAAGGCATGTGAGTGCCACTGATGTTGTGGGACAGTGAGATGTTATTGTGAAGGCAGTGAACTTGGACTCTGAGAAGTTGCAAGCAGCTCATGCTCTGACATAAACCTAAAAAATCTGACATTGGCTAGTAGGTTTGAATATATATGCAGACCGTTTATCTTGGGGAGCCTCTGGGATTCTCCAGAGAACAAAAGGAAATGTGAAATTATGAAAATGCAGTCGTAACTTTTCACATTGCCCCATCCTGTTTGCATTTAGGTACTTCAGGGAGGCTCTTGTAACATACCTAAACTGGGTGATGTTGTGTGTGTAGTATCATACGTCACCCCACAGCTGGGAAGCCAAGTTCCCAACTGTGCAACTCCACTTAGCTCTTAGTTCCTTACATACGCTTGTCCAAAGAAATACTGTTAGCATCATAGTGTCTGGTTTCCATCTTGGCAGCCCTTTTAGTGGCTGTCTAGTGGCTGGTCCAGTGGCTGCTGCTCGTTGTTGGTGAGCTGAAGGAACATAGATGGAAGTGCAGGATGTTTCTGTGGATAGAGAAGGAGGTGAAAATTTTCATTGCCATTGCATTGGATCCATGATTTTTTCATACCAGCTACAGTGTCAACATAACCATGCTTCCCCTGGGTAACCCAAAACGACATGACTGGAAGTGCAGGCAATTACAGCATTTTGTCAGTGTGTTCAAGTGTGAATTTGACACTTCTAGAGAAGCAACTGCCATCTCCTCCACCTCTGACATGAGTCGAAATTAATTGGACTTGAGTCTTCATTATTTGTTCTAAAGCTGTAACTTAAAGGACCTACAACTGTTTCCTAAAGTTCTTGACCAAATGAAGTTTGCTGGATTCCTAGAGGTTAAGTGTTGCCTCTAAACAACTTGAGAAGTTGAAATTCTGTGCATTTGCACGCAATAAATTTGTGACCCCGCCAAGGGATACTCCTGATTTGGATAAATAACAGTTGCGGTAGCTTTTGCAGGAAGAAGCGCAAGGTTTTGGGCTGCTGGCTTTGTGCTGTTTCAGTTTTGTTGTAATGATTCGGGAGGCTGGCAGAGCAGTTGTGCTGGCAGGCAGCTCACAATCTGTGCCCTGCAGTTGTGTCCGTGTTTTAGTACGTGGGGATCATGAGAAACAGCCACTGTCTGCGTTTTAATGCCCTGCACTGTGGGCAAAGCTGATGTTAACACATCCTACTGACCTGCTGAGAGCAGGATGAGGTGTTTGATCTTTTAAAATTTCCATGTTCTACCTTGTTTTAACTATGACAGATTTTTCAAGGCTTGCCAAGTGACATTTGCTTACTGTATTTCAAAAAGCACTCCTTATAGCCAGGATGCAGTGCTCCTTTGAAAGTATTTCCCTTCGTGAGCAACACAAGAATTTGACTTTGCCCCAAAAAATACATTGCAAAGGAGGTGGTTTGGTGTTAGGTGTTTTTTTAATTAAAGATAACAAGAAGTGCCCCAGCTAGCAATGTAGGTCAGGCTTTATTTTGCTTTGGAGCAAATGAAAATGTCCAGGTGATGAAACCCACAAAAGACAAATCCTGCAACAAACTTTGTTAATTGTCCTCCGAGGAAGGTTTCGCACTGCTTTTATAGAGCCATACTTTATCTTGGAAAGAGCAAAGGGCAAGAAGAAAGTAATTGCACAATTAACTCTGGTTTTTGTTCCTTGCTGTTTTCTGCCTTCATTTTGCATTATCGTTGAATCCTGCTGGTGGTGTAACACTAGTGCCCCAACAACCCTGTCAGTCACTCCATTTCTTGTAACGTTGCATAGTTAGGTGCAGAAGTATAAAATCGTACCCAGGGAAAGGGTCTGTCTGATACCACAGACCGATTTCCATTTGTAGCATCGTTCTTGGGTGAACCCCCACTGTAATCCAAACACTGCACTTAGGAGACTGAGCACTTGGCTGTTAACAGTGTTTCTCACCCAGCATATGCTCTTTGTCTAGTTTTCTGCAGGATGTATTTTGAATAAATGTGATGTAAAGAAATTACTTGAAGGCTGTCCAGAGATAACAAAGAGATTAATAATAATGTAGTGAATGCTAAAGTAACTCCTTGCCACCTTCCAGTCAATATAGATTTGCTTTCTGCTTGCACAAAAGCTGATAGGTGACAGCATGTCGTTTTATGTAGAAGAAATTCATTCTTTGCATGGCTGAATACACAGGAATGCTGTTTTGCTTATGCAGCAAGTTTGCTGAGTTGAAGGAAATTTGGGTATTTGCAGATGGACACAGTAGCATGAAAATACTTGATTTCTGGAAGTATGTTTAGTTCCTCTTGATTTAGCCTGGAAGGTTGATTATGATTCAAGAGATGTGTCTGTGATGTGAAAAAAACTCCTTGCTGAGCCTCCAGTATAGCAGATAAAACATTTGCACATCCAGATGGACAGATATGGAAAAGGATTTGGAATTTTTCTAGTTCCACCTTTTTCCTCTCTTGTATGAAGAGTTGCTCACAAATAGCAGAGGTTTCCCTCCAAGTTGCGGTTGGATGGGCTTACAGTCCTTGCTTTGATTACTCCTATTGTTTTTGTAAAGGTGAGCTCAAAATCGTGTGTGGTTGGGAGCACTTACCTGACTTTGCAGCCAGGAGATGAGAGGTGTTCTCGGTTACTAGATTATTGATTGTGTATGTCATGACCCTGCATCTTGATAATGAGCAGAATTGGGACGTTGCCTTTCTGACAGGGTTGTAAGTACAGAGACTCTTCCCTAAGGAGAAATGCAGGCAGTGCTTTTTCTGACATGTCCGCAGCAGTCGGGGGGCTCTAGTTGTGGTGAGGAAAATGGGATGCATCAGTGTACATGGAGGTGGTGGTGGATGATTGTGGACTGTGGGGACCTCTGTGTCTTAACAGGTACCACAAGCTCATCTGGGGGCCGCACAGCATGACCTCGAGTGAGAGAGTGTCCGGAGTTCTGATTGCTGGGGGTGAAAATGGAAATGTCATTCTGTACGACCCAGCCAAAATCGTAGCTGGAGATGCTGAAGTAATAATTGCCCAGAAAGACAAGCACACGGGACCAGTAAGAGCACTTGATGTCAACATGTTCCAGGTTGGTTTTCTGCTGTTCTTCATCACATACTGTCATAGATGAGTGACCTGTCTTAATTTGTAACTTTAAGTGTTTCTGTCCCTTTCCCCTTCCCTGAAAAGCATGAACTAGATTTGACGTTTGAGTGTCTGTATTTAGTAGGAAAAACCTGTCCTGTTACTGGCACTTCAGGGTGGGGAATAAAAGAGTTCAACATGTCTGGTTCATTACTTCCACTTGTCGGTTGACGTTGTCAATTTAGCGGGTCTTTTTAGCTCGGCTTACATGTGAAGTAGAGGTGGTCTTCTGTGGTATTTTTAACCAGTTTCCTTTTTTAGTTTCCGTGTACTGTGCCACTATTGTTCTCATCACATGGGAAGTATTTACCTGCTGTTACTCATGTTTCTGGTGACATCAGATTTTAGGTATCTCCTTTAGGGGTTGTGTAGGATCCATCCTCAAGACCTCTAAGTTTTGTTGCTTGGAAAGAGGAGACAGAACAGGAAACACAGTGACGTGGCCTCTTTAGCAGAAGAGCTCTCAAAACCAACAAGCTTTCCTCCATCACTAATGAGCATTTACTTCCTTCTAGATACAGTGGGTTGGTTTTTCCTTGTCCCCACCAGCTGTGCAAGAATTCACTTGGATTCATTTTCCTAAATAGCACTTCTGTCCCTGCACACTTGCTTGCAGCAAGGCCGCCCTGTGTTCATTGTGTCCTCTCTGAATCGCTTCCATTCCCTTTCTGCCCTTTATGAAGTTGGGACTTGCTTGTCACCAGCCACGGGATGTGATCAAAGGGCGCTCGGTGCCCTTGGCTCGTGTTGTCCTGCCTGGACTTTTGCATCCCAGATGCAGGATTGCTCTGGATGATTGCACTTACTGTGGACAGGGTGCTGTCCACTGCTACAGCCACAAATGCCACTCTCCTTCCAGCTGGCTCCACATGTCGTGGTCTGCCCAGAGCTCTGCAGCAGTGATAACCTCAGCTCTGCTATCTCATCTGCTCCCTCCCAGAATTATCACTGCTTTCCACTTGCCTGTCCATGGCTGTGCCCCTGCAGCCTCCTCACGGCTGTCTGCCATGCAGTGGAGAAGCACTCCACAAAATGGGAATTTTGGTCTTGCCAGTCTAGTGCAGTGTATGGATTCTTTTTTTTTTAGTTAACTCAGTTTTACCTGCAATCTCAAAAAAACGTTGCTTTTTTCTCTGAGCTGCTCTGTGTGAGCCAAAGGCTATATCCTGAGCTGGTAGGAGAAATTGGCACAGTCCTGTGGAACTGATGCCTCCCAGTAGCTAAGACTGTGGAAGCTGTTGCTGAAAATACTCTTAACATCTATTAATGTGTCTTACAGACTAATCTGGTGGCCTCTGGTGCTAATGAATCTGAAATCTATATCTGGGACTTGAACAATTTTGCCACGCCAATGACACCAGGAGTAAAGACGCAGGTACCAGATTTGTATTTGTAAAATACTCCAGAGCAGACTAATGAAAAATATGCATGTCACGTAAGTTGAGAGCTCATTGAAACCTACAGTTTTAAAGCTATCTCAAGAGGGTAAAAAAAAAAAAAAAGCCCTTGAAGTCTAACTTGGATAGCAGTTAATTGTAGTTAGCTGCTGGCAATGTTAGATACGGTCCTTAAGGGGTGGTACAACAGACATATCCATATCAAAATAAAGAAAAATATGTTCCTGCATGTTGTGTTCCAGTGGCTTTCCCAAAGGCCAACAAAAATAAGCTGCCTATTGGTGCTTAATTTTTGTAACATGCTTATTAGACTGTGAGGTTTGAGATATTTTTCTCCTTGTGACATGGCTGTGACTCAAAGCATACGGCAGGAGCCCATGTCCTTAAGGACAATACTCTCTGAGCAGCAACGTAGGTAGCTTTCAGTGAACGCTTTTGGAAGGAAGTCCGTCGTGACAGCGCTATTTTGCCGCACTTTGTGTCTAGCCATGATTTTTTGCCCAGCTCCATCCAAGGGTGACTGGATGCTGCTGCTTTTCTAGCCCCTGGAGTGCGATTTCCTGACTGGGCCTGCAAGTGCAAGCCTCCAGGAGTCTGTGTGAGGAGTGGTTTGCTCTACTTCCCGTGCAGCAACCCTGGCTGTGCAGTCGTGTTTCTCCACAACAGACCTACAGTTTTGGCTGACTTCACAAGCAGTTGATTCATATCTTTATGTGGTGGGATTTTATTTTTTTACAAATTGTATTTGGCCAGAGAAAGCTGAAGTATCCCCTCAGTCTTTGAGAAATGTTGCATTTTATCAAGCAACAAGTAATAACAAGCAGTCTCTCAGGTTACACCACTTTTTAAATAGCTGTAACCGTTACACAGTCTTCTAGTCTTTCTCTGCATGTTTCACTGCATGCCTGAATCTGAAGACAGTGAAGGTACAGACTGAGGAAAATAGGAGGAAGATAAAAAGCAGCTACTCAGAAGTCAGAAGATGAGGCAGTAGGTTTGGCAGTTATGGGTTTCAGGGAGTGTTTAATTGATCTACTTAAGGGCCAGTGTTTAGCCTCTGTCTCTTAAAGAAGATCTAAAGTACTCCTTTAAAGTACTTTGTGCCTTGTGAAGGAGACGGAAGAGAGTTTCAATGGATGTACCTTTCTGTAGCTATTACAAAATTGCACAAGAGGTTTGTGGTTACTGGAAAACGGGTGTATTACTGCCTGGTAATTTGGAGACAGCAAAGTGAGGAAATGAGATGAGAAGTAATCTTCAGTTTAAAGCTTTTTAGTTTAAACTCCATGGGTTTGGATACTTTGTTTAGTCTGAGTCATTTATTATCATGTGGGCATTTTGGAGGATGCTCACCTTATTAAAAATCCTATACAGGTATCTTTAACTGTCTAATAGTAATTTTTTAGGTTGGGAAATCTTTTAGTCCATATACTTAATGACATCTAGAAATAATAGTGCAACAAGGACTGAGTTAACATCGCTTTTAATTCTCAGACTAAAAATAAGCGGTTGAGGGGGGAATAAAAAAACTCCACAGAATTCCTTCAAACAAACTTAGAGATTTTTTTTTTTGTGAGACAAAACCTAATAATCCAAGGCAAAAGGGCAGTTCGTATACCTGGACATACTTTCATGGAGTAATTTTCTGTTCTTGAAGACAGTTGTGCTTGGTCTTCTTTAAGTGACTAATGTATCATATTGTAAAGCAGAAAATGCAGATATTACAGAGAAGTACTAGCAGCTTATAAATCAGGATTTTCAGGCATTCTACCCTACAGTGTGTGTATGTAAGAAAGCAAAACGCACGCAGTACCTGGGATGAGTCTCCTTGCAAATTTGTCATTTGGCAAGTCCTGAAAATAACAGGTTTTGAGTCTTTGATTTGGAAAGGTTGTGACAGACTGTTCCGTGTGTGTGACAGCCTCTGGAGGACATCAGCTGCATTGCGTGGAACAGGCAAGTCCAGCACATCTTGGCATCCGCCAGCCCTAGCGGCCGAGCTACCGTGTGGGATCTCAGGAAGAACGAACCCATCATCAAAGTCAGCGACCACAATAACCGGGTGAGTTACCTCTTGCTTGTGCTTGTGGAGAGGTGTGGGGTTGCCTCTTGGCATGTGGGGACAGGTCATAGCACCCTTTCTTACATGGCATAAAGATACTGGTGCCTGACCCAGTTTTATACAACGTACTAAATATCTCATGCTTTCTCGTAAAAGGCTGTGTATATGCAGAGGGATTGTCAGTGTTTTAAATGAAAATAGGCAGGTGCAGATCAAAGCCAGGCACTCCTTGACATCATGACTTAGTGTTTAGGCAGAGAGTGCTTCCTCCTTGGTATCACAGATGGGATGAGCACAAGGGCTGAGCCCTGGAAGGACACTGATGGAGCTGGGCCTGTGCTTCTGCTGGTCTGGATGTGGAAATGGGAGCAGGCTGCAGCCAAGCTTGGAGAGGGTGGGTTCTGTGGTGGGGAGTCAGTGAGCAGGTTACAGGGGAGGCTGCCTCATTCAGTTACAAGCACCACGCCTGCTCCTCAGGCAGTGTAAATGTACAAAAGAGCCTGTTGAACTTGTGGAGAGTGACATACTTGTATAATTCTGTCTATTTTAGATGGAATATTGCTATAACAAGCTTTGAAGCTATAGCAAGAGTTCAAAACAAACTTTACACATGGGTGCTCCTGAAGTAGCTGCTTGGTCACTGCATTCTTATTCTGATAAACTCTTAACTCTCAACGTTTTATGTATTTGTTGCCTAATGTAACAGCAGCACAGTAGGCTGTCTTCATCATGTGATTGTAGACCAGTAATACAATCTTCACATGACAATAACCTCTGCCTGACAATGGCTTTTGTTAAAAGATCAATAAAAATATTAAAAGAAAAGGTTTGTACAGAGGGCTTTACAGTTTTCTTACATTAAAACACAGGACTGTGAACAAGACAGTACAAAGTCAACTCTTCGAGAGGACCTTGGGAAACTAACTGCAAGTCTCCTCACTCACAGAAACAAGGAGAGTATCCCAATTGAATGCAGTCAGAAATAATGTCCAGAAACACAGCTGCAAATTCCCTTGCAACAGTGTTTTTACCATGCATGTAGACATATTTAGGCTAGTTGTCTTTTGTCATTTAGCGCTGCATAGTTATTTCATGCTATGGCGCAATGTTGTCCCTCAGATGCACTGCTCAGGCCTTGCATGGCACCCTGATGTTGCTACCCAGATGGTTTTGGCCTCAGAAGATGACAGGTTGCCCGTGATTCAGATGTGGGACCTAAGATTTGCCTCCTCACCACTTCGTGTTCTAGAAAGCCACACAAGGTAAGAGTCTTATGTAGCCTGCTGCTCTGAGATGTTTGCACTGTTGGTGACTGCGTTCCAGTTTGTACATCTCCGATCTTGTTCAGTTCCCTGTGAAGACTTGCTCAGTTGGAGGCGGTGATTCCAGCAGCAGGCAGGGTTATATGCTGGCTTGCTGACTAGTTGAGCCTGTGTCCTGAAAGGCTTGCCTTTTGGGGCCTGCTGGTTTGAAGGGAACAGGCCTCAAAATAAAAAATTAAAAAAAAAAAATATCCACACACAACAAAACACCATCCTACTGAAACACTGAAGTTGCTAGTTTGTTTCTATGTTTTTTGAGAAGAGGGAGCTGAGGTGCAGAGAGCTAGTAGTAGTTGATTTTGCCTGAATAATGGACTGAAGGTGCACCTAGGTGCATCCTCACATGTGGACATGCACAGTCTCTCTGCCTCAGTCCCCTAAATGCTTTAAATTTGGGTAGGAGGAAAGATTTCGTTAAATTCTCGTCCCTCGTCAACTTCTTATTGCCCAAACCCAGCGCTTGATTTAAGGAGAGAGGACAGCAATAAGTCTGTGTTGCAGCTTCTACCAAAACTGCTGCCAGTGGTTCTGCTGACTTGAATCTCCTCCTAATGAAAAGAAGCTGACAAACTTCATAGTCACCAACCTTACCTACAGGTTTGCACACTGTATGTTAATGATACTGCAGGCCAACAAACCATTTTGTTAAATTGGTGTCTAGGTTCTCACACCTGACTGTTGCATTTACTTTTCAGATACAGTGGCTGCACCTTTGTACTTCTTCACACAGAAAATAGAAAGCATTTATTTCAATAAATGAAGTGAAAAAATTTTCCCCTTGTAAGAGGAGGGAGTGGGGAGGGCATTTTGAGGTGGAATGCTCAGCTAATGTAGAAACTCAACTTAGAAATATGCTTTATTTATCACCATTTTGCATTTACATTAAACTTTTTTTGTTTGTGACTTTTCATGCAGGGGTATATTGGCCATTGCTTGGAGTATGGCAGATTCAGAGCTGCTACTTAGCTGTGGGAAGGATGCTAAAATTCTCTGCTCCAACCCTAACACAGGCGAGGTATTGTACATGCACCACTTTAAAAAAAAAAAAAAAAAATCTCTCTTCGGAGGGGGCATACACAAAGCAGCTGTTGGTGTCCTTGCACTCCTAGGAATGATGCTTCTGTGGGATGTTTCTCCCTATCCTGTGTACTTGTGTTTGGCACATGTGCCTTCCGAGCCTTCTAGTGGGGCAGGATTCCTTCCTAGTATTACTGATATTACACGTTTGTCCTTGCTGCTTCTCTCCTGCTAAGTAGTAAGGTCCCTGCTCATTATAAGGGATAGAAATAGCCCCACTTAAACTACGTATTTGATTCCTACTCTTTCAGTTTGGGCCTGATGTGGCTAGTTTACTGTTGCAATTGCTTTTTTCCTTCCGTAAGTGTAAGAACTTTTTTACCCAGACCAGAGAGGTTTTGGAGGTTACTACAGTAGTGGCAGTGAGAGCCACTTGAATGTGTTCCCACCCCACCCTTTTGGGCCTGGGGATACCTTTCAAAGGGGATGCAGATCCTTTTTCAGACAATTTGAGTGTTTGCCCCTAAACCATGAGAAGGGCTTCAGGCACGCTGGAGGCCTCCTTGCCTGCAGTGGACAAGAATCCTGGAGGACAAGAGTGAGAAGTGTTTCTAAAATTCAGACATTGGCTCAAAAGTGCAAAAGCTGTGGGGTGGTAAATGAGTTATCTGAGCTGGATCTGTGCTGTTAGGAAGGTTTACATGTGGATGAGTCGTGCTACATGTTTTTGTTAAAAGTAAAAAACAGTTTCCTAGGAGATAGCGAGGCAGTTAGCATTTTGCTCTTTGAGTTTCTCCTAATTTATGGTTAACTGTCTGCTGCAGTGGTGGGCTTGTCTGTTCCAGGGCAGGAGAGGCTGTCTGCCCAGAATGCAGCTTTTAACTTTTCCAATTTTCCTGCAAAAACAGACTGACTTTGGAGCCTGGACATGTCTCCATGTGGTGTGTAGAGATACCTAGATGAGCTCTGAATAAGCTAGCATGAATATCAGCAGCAGCTCACAGGTTGCAGTGGGACAGCACAGACATACCCTGCCTCCGTAGTTTGTCCTCTGTGGAGTAAACGGAAGATTTAGTGGGAGGAGAAGGAAATGAAGCAGTGGTGTGTGATAATCTCCTGTTTGGTGATCGTCAGGGTTTGCCCACCGTTCATGTGTACGGTGATGTGGAGGCTGCTGAGGAGCAAAAAGAGCAGAGCAGTCTCAGGCCCGGCAGGAGAACTGTTGCTGTTGGACATGGTGCTCCGTAAAAGCCCTGATTTATTGGACTTGGTTTTGCTGCCCAGGTGCTGTATGAGTTACCCACGAACACACAGTGGTGCTTTGATATCCAGTGGTGTCCCAGAAACCCTGCTATCTTGTCAGCGGCTTCGTTCGACGGGCGGATCAGCATTTACTCCATCATGGGAGGCAGCACAGATGGCTTGAGGCAGAAGCAAGTTGACCAGGTATTGAGAAATGTTTCAGCTAAGAATATGGACAGAAAGGGGCTGGGGAAAAACATGGACTCATGGGAAGTCTTCAGTGGCTTGCAGTCTTGCAGCCCTGCTTGCAGGCGTACCAGTCCGGTGCAAATAAATACTTATGTTTAGTTTATTGGACATATGTCACCTTTGGTTTTTTTTTCCCCTTCTGTTATGGAAGCTTTCATCGTCTTTTGGGAACCTCGATCCATTTGGTACAGGACAGCCCCTCCCTCCCCTGCAGCTTCCCCAGCAGACCACCCCACAGAGTGTCATTTTGCCCCTAAAGAAACCACCCAAATGGATCCGGCGACCTGTGGGAGCATCATTTTCGGTAAGCAGGAGACAAGGCTGGGCATGATTGGTCAGGTAGGGAGGGAGATAGTGGCAGCACCTGCAAAACACTTTAGGAAGAGGAGAGGTTTAACGTTGTGCTTCACTTTGGGAGAACTTCCCCTGTTTGTCGTCATGGTGGGAGATGCTCGTGGCAGTTTCCAGACTGGGCAATTGGGACAGCAAGCCAGGAAAAGTGTGACAGAACTGCTTGGGAAAAAAAACAAGGAAGTCTTGTGTTGCCAACAGGCACTTGTTTCTTTCTGTGTTGGGATTAGGGCTTTGCTTTTATTTATGTGCAGTGCTTGCTTTGGAGTAAACAAATATACATTGGGAGGGAGAAATGGGACCAAACTGGGCAAGTATCTGAGAGTTGAGTGCAGTTTGAAGCTATTATGTGAGTCAGCGTGGTAGAGAATACTCAGGTTAGCTCTGATCAAGATTGCAGGAGTCACTGTAGCAGCATATGGCTTGGCTTCTCCTTGGCTCGTTGATTTGCAGAAGAAGAGCCAAGTGAGAGGGTGGCAAGGCCCTGCTTTCTGTGAGAGCAGAGTTATCTGCTCTTTGGCTCCACCTTTGACTTATTTTCTAGACCCACAGGCCATTTCGTAGGGATCTCCTGAAGATTTTTAGTCTGTCCACTTGAAATGGATTTCTTGCCAAAATACTGCTCAATTTTCAGCATTGTATGTGTGCTTATTCATGATCTGATGCACAAATTAAACACAATTTTCTCCCATCAAAGAGAAGTGATGTTGCCTAGCCACTGACTGATGTGTCATTTTATAATGGTGTTTATTGCCTTATTCATCCTGGTTTTTCAGGACTCAGCTGTCCGTCTTTTTCTTGGCTAGGCTTTTTGCTTTTTGTAATGCTGACTTTTGTCATTTATTGGACTGGCCTGTGTAAATTAACTTTGAGCTATAGGATGAAATAATATCATAAGCCCCTTCTAATTGTTTTCTCTTCTGTTGATTTTACTCCTCTCCAAATGATGACGCAACTTACTGCCCATCTCTCAGGAGGCTTTTAACTGGTAATCAGCCTGCCAAGAGCAGGGCAGACATCATGCTTGAGCGTTTCTTTAATGATGTATATGTTTCTTTGTTAATTACATTGCAATATCATAAGATACTCCATTTATGCTGGGCACTGTACAGACCCACAGCTCTAGTTCTCAGTATCTAGTCAGTGTTTTGCCAGAGGAGAAACAGGTGTAATGCTTATAAATGTTATTAAATGTGCACCCACTTATCCAGCAAGTTCCTTGCATGCATAGAAATATGGGGTGGTGGAAAAAAAAATCAATGAGTTGATGTGAGGAATGTTTGTCCATTAGACGATAAGTGTATATACACTATATAAAATCATGTACATACATGTGTGTATGCGCATACTTTTTTCGTATACACTCCAGTGTATATTTTTACATACTGCATGTGTGCCTCAATTCCAGTTCGGAGGCAAGCTGGTTACATTTGAGAATGCCAAGTCTCAGCAGCAGCCAGGCATCGAGCAGCAGCAGCAGCATCACCACGTCTACGTGAGCCAGGTTGTTACAGAGAAGGAGTTCCTGACCCGCTCGAACCAGCTGCAGGAGGCTGTTCAGTCCGAAGGCTTTGTCAACTACTGCCAGAAGAAAATCGACACGGCCCAGGCTGACTTTGACAAAAATGTGTGGGCCTTCTTAAAGGTAATAGGATAACGGCAGTTCAGGAGTTCCCCACTGACTTGGAAAGCCAGAGCAGAAATGGTTCCTTCTGCTTATTATGGCGTTTTAGCAGAAGAATTGCTGGGAACCAAAAGCGTAGGCTGTGGGAGTAGTGCCCAAAAGCCCTGTCGTTGGAGGTGGCCCACCAGAAGAGGAAGGGTCCTCAGGGCCAGGGGTGTTTGTGGGGTTCATGAGTAATCATGGCCAAAGCCAAGGCTTGGGGGAAGGTATCGTATGTTTTTTGACATCCCCCATCAGTATATCTTTGTGCAGGGAGCTGGTGAGAAGACGTAAAGCTTTGTGATAGCTTTAGATGTGCTTTTCACTGCTCGCTATGGACATTTAGAGGTTTCCAAGTGAAGCAGATTGTTCACCTACAAAAACCTGATTGAATCCTTGCCTACCTGCTCACGTGCCCAAGTCACTGAAAACCTTTTCAGTTCTCTTCATTACACTCAGTCTCCGCAGTCACTAGCTCTTACTGGGTGATTTGTGCCAGTCAAGTAAAAAGCCAGGGAGGGAGAAAATGAGAAATCGTGAATTGCAATATATTCTTTAACTTTTGTTTTCTAAAGGTGAACTTTGAAGAAGATTCACGTGTTAAATACCTTGAGCTCTTGGGGTACAGGAAAGATGATCTGAAGAACAAGGTAAATGTGCTTGGAAGCTGTGCTTGTATTAAATGCTTTAGTGATGGATGTATCCATAGCGTACATCCTGAAATGTTGACAAAGCCATGCGTGGTTGAAATATTCAACTCCCAGTGGGACTGGGAGAGCAATTACTAGTATCCACAGGCTATTCAATAAAATAAACTTTTTTATACAACATTATTTTCGGTGTGTTTCCCAGCAGATAGAGTTTGTCAGTACTGCAGCTCTCCTAACAGCCATAGTACAACTGTTACCACAGTGCTGGAACCTCTGTTTAAACATGGCTGACTTGAATAGTTGTGTTATTTAAGGAATTCCTTTGTTCCAAAGACACTGGAAATCTTCCTCTGCTCTTTAAATTTTGTCTAGGTAAACAACCCGTAAGTAACTTCAGAATTCTTACAGGAATCACTTTGCTTTGTTGGGTTTTATTATTAGCTATGTCAACTTCTTGCAATATGGATGTTCAATGAAAATTTGAAAGCAGGCAACAGACTTCAGAGATGTGTCTGCATCTGACTGTCCATTGTTGATCTGAAATTCTCACCCATCAAGAAGCTTTGATGTTTTTGGTTCAAGCTATTCATGTAACTTTGTTATGTGACGTCATTCTACTGTCGCATCATGGAATCTGATCTGGTTTTAGGCTTTCTGGTTGAAGAACATGTAAGCAGTCTTCAGGGTTTAATTAACTACCTTGGAAAACCAAGAATAGTCCTTTTTTTTTGTCTGTGGGACACCATTCATTTCTGAAAAAAAAAAAAAAAAAACCACCAAGTATCAAACTTGGTTACATTTGGAAAGGCAAAATCTGGATTACCAGGAAGCAACTTGCGCGTCTTAAGTATAGAGCTTTCTTCCAAGTTGGAAGATTCTTATCTCCGTGTTACAGGGGGATGCCTGCTGTGCGTTTTGGCTCTTTGTTGCTTTCAGTGCTGCACCCAGGAACTGTCTAGTATTTCTTCAGTTCTGATTCAGTGGATTTGAATGTTTGACTCATTTTCATTATATCAAACTAATGTTTTATTTTCAAAGACTGGCTCCATAAAAATGTCTTTATGGTTATGACATATATATATGGAGGCCAATAAGTGGCCTCCAGGGCACACTTATTATGATTACAGAAAAAAATCATGTTTTTGCTAAGTCTGTCCTCAGCTTCTAAATTTTTGTTGCATGAGTCAAAGGCAAGCACAGCAAGAGAAATCTTGTGTTTGAAAAGTAGATCTCAATTAGAAAATCCAGTTGAAATTTAATAGTGGTCCTGTGGGGCGGCCTCATGCAGACTGGAGCCCACTGCTGCTGTGGCTCTGGGTTTGATATGCCCTGTGCGTGGGGAGAAGCTGGGAAAATGGGCATAGCTGAATTGAGTGGCCTGAAATGCTGGGCCTGCCCCATTGTTTCAGTATTTGAGGAACAGATGAGGGGAGCTGCAAGGCCATGTTTTCATGTAACTGTTTCTCAACAAAGCATTCCACGTTGAAGTTGAATTTGTGGGTTTTTTAAGTGTCAAGAAACAATACAGGACAGCTTGTCTGAAAACTTGTGATACCCAGATGATAAACTCACTACATCACAACTCGTTTTTCGTGTTACTGGTAGGGTAAGGAAAGTAAAAAAGGGTCACAGATTTCAGCTTCTTGGAATAAGCTGTTAAGAACATGGTGTTTTGTTTTTATCTTCTCAAAACCTGTGATTCATATGCAAGTCAAGTCCTGGATTTCTTCTTGCTATTGTAAACTAATGATTAAAAAAGAAAGAGAAAACTATCTCCACAAAAAGCTGAGCTCAAATTGCTGAAAACCAGCCTACAAGGGTAAAATAAAGCCTGCAATACTACAAGTAGTAGATAACATTAGCAGCAGTAGGAAACTCAGGCTCCCAGATGCCAAACTAATTTATTTTTTGCATGCATTCTAAACTCTATACATTAAATTGATGTTTTTGAGGTCTCTGATTGAATCTGGAGTAATTTTTTGCTTTGCAAAGCAATAAAAGCTGGGCATTTTAACTCTTCTGTACCTTGGAAAATCCTAGCCCACAGCCATATGCCTGCTGTGCTTGAAACCACAGCTTCCCGACAGGCTCCCTGCCCCACAAGCATTGTCACCACTTCATTTTCCCCAGCCAGAGCAGGCAGAGGGTTTTGTCCTGCATGCTCTGATGCTACTTTTATTACTGTGGTTTCCAGCAGCTCTAGTGAGGTCTGAGGCCCTCGAGTTAAGTTAAAGGTTTAAAGGCATAGAGCAGCTGTTGTTTCCATCAGAGCTTGGGGTGCAGGGCACTTAGCAGTAAATCCTTTGCCTGGCTGGGGAAGGAAATGGCTTTAGTTTCATGTTAACTGTTCTGCAAGCAACATATTAGCTACGTGTGCCAGTTTTGCAATCTGAGAGATCAGTGAGAGGTCTGCCTCTCTAAAATAAAAGGACACTTACTTAAATCTTGGTTGTTTTCTAGATAACATCTGCTCTGAATAAAGAGAGTGTTGCAGATGGTGACTTGGGAGAGGTAAGCAAACACGTGTACAGCTCTGTTTAGATTTGTAACGCCGTGGTAATGTGCAAAGTAAGAATAATTTTTCTCTCCACTTGGTAGCTGTCCCAAAGTAAGTCACAAATAACCCAGCAATATGACAAGATCCTACATTCAGTAGGATGAAGGTACTTATTTAAAAAAACAGTTGCTTTTTTCCCTGCTCAAATGTGTCCCCCCCCTTTCCCAATAAAGGACTCTCAGTCACAGGTTTTAGTTCAGGGTCTCTGTGATGTCCCTTTCCTTTTTGCTGCCTGTGTCTCATCCGCTGTGACACTTCGTGCTGCCTGCAAGGCAGGGCAGAGCCTTGCTGCCTGGCAGCTGGTTTCAAGAGCAGCACCTTCCCCAGGCTTTAAAAAAAGCAGGACTTAGAGTGTGGTCCTGTAACACTTCCCTGCAAGAGCGGTAAATACAGTTCAGGCATTGCCCGTTGTAATTGCAATGGCCTGAGTCTACAATGAGGAGGGGGGGACTGCATTGCTTTTGTGCCGTGGACATTTCTGATGTCATCTGTAGTTGCATAACGGGGAAGAAAAGTTTTGTTGCATGTTTTCAAGCATCTAAGATGAAAACAACACAAGGTACTGTGTAATGACAAAGAGCAAGGAAGTGGAGGGCCTCTACTATCTGTCTCATACTCAAGCATATATTGCCAATTCATTTCTGTGATTTACAGTCTGGTTCTGGCTGTTGTGGGTGGGAAGGTGGCTATACTCTGCAGTGCAAAGTATTTTTTCCCCTTTTGCTGGCTTGCTGGTTTTTTTATGGCATCTTCTCTCTGCTGAAGGCTCCTGCCGAATCTGATGAATCTGTGCCGAAGGAGGGGGACGAAGGCCAGGCTACAGAGGAGCAATTTTTGGGACAGGTATCTGTTGCCCTCTAGACTAACCCTGTTGACCTCCTATGTATTTACTTTGTTACTATTAAGAATATTTTATTTTGTTGGCTTTTCCTAGTGCTGAGGATGTATGGAAATATAAGAAGTTATTTAGAATGAGTAGAATGTGGGCTCTTGTTAAGTTGCTTGAGATTCTCAGCCTCAGACACCGTGTGAATAGATTTTGGTGGTAATGAAGAAAGAGCTTGTTTTGTAACAGTCCGGTTGACACCGGACTCAAGGACTTTATTCTGCTATAATTTTCACTCTGATATTTCCCTAACATGTACTAAATGTTCATCTGCCACAACTCTAATGCATTCCTCTTTTTTTTTTTTTTTTCCCGCCCCTCACTTTCCTCATTCCTTTTTTCCCTCTGGTTGATTATTACCAAGTTGTCAGCTTATTATTGCCCTGTTTCTAGGTACAACCCTTTGCAGAGATGCAGCTGTGGTACTGGAGGAGAGGGGGGAACGTTTGTTCTCTGCATTACTCCCACCAACATCACAATTCCGTCCATCCCCTTTGCACCTGATGAGCAAGTATCAGGGCTTTGGTAGCTAGCTGCCTTACAAACCAGCTGTTGGAACAGTTCAACCAGGTTTATCGCAGGCAGTTTGTGCTCTGCCATGTCTGCCTTTGGGATCCTACAGCTTTTGTTCATTTTTGTTCCTTTCCCCAGGGCTCAGTTTTGAGGCCAGTTCTGTTTAACATCTTTATTGATGATTTGGACAAGGGGATCGAGTGCACCCTCAGTCAGTTTGCAGATGACACTGAGTTGGGCGAGAGTTTTGATCTGCTGGAGGGCAGGAAGGCTTTGCAGAGGGGTCTAGGCAGGCTGGATCGATGGGCCGAGACCA